GGGTTTATGCTTTCCTACGGTCTTTTCCTTCCGTCTCCTGATCAAGGCCACCATCGCAGACTTTGCCTCTTGAACCAGGATCCCCTCCAGCCTCCCCCACCGCCCCCACTCCCACCCCACCTCCCCCTCCAGCCCCTCCACCTCTTTGCCAAAACCTACCTCCCCTCCATCATTCTTTTTCCTGATTCCTACGTGTCCTTCAAGACTCATCCTGGCCATCGCCTCCTTCGAGAAGCCTCTCCCTCCCATCTCAGTTGCCACTCTAGGCCAATCTGTGTTTAAGACGATCGTCCTTTGAATTCTCGAAGAGTTTTTCCTTCTGGATTGCTAGTGTTAGTTTCCTTACCTTTCTTTTGCCACACAAATTGTACAGTTCGTTGAGGTCATCTCTTTATTTATAGTGCCTCGCCTGAAATATGCCCGGCGTGTAACAGGCACACAATAAATATTTGATGAAGCGATGAATGCGTGAATCTTTTTAATCATTCAAAATCTAACAAGTCTTAATCCTTTGACATTTTGCAACTGTGGTGACTATTTTTTGTGAGATTGCATTTATCAGCAAACCTCGTGAAGTCGACTGCTCCACCTGCAGATCCAGTGTAATTTACACGCCACCCGAAGATTGCTGCCGGCCAAGGAGGGCCACGGAACAATGGAAGTGAACTTCAAATGGTAACACTACCTCACAGGCGCCACGAGATGGCAGCCGCAGCCCAGGAGCAGGCGGCTTCTGGCCTCTGACCGTGCCCTCACCCAGGAGGTCGGGCCTTGGGCCGGCGGCGGCCGTGGTCCCCCTCCCAGCACCTGCACAGCTCCTCCCGAGGGACTCAGGCTTCCTGGAGGGTCCGATGTCCCTGAGTCACCCCCCAGAAGATGTCCCTTCCTCCTGGCTCCACTCTCACTGGCTCCTGTAAACTCTACAAGCCCCTTCAGGGGGCTCTTCAGGCTCCCACCCCTCCAGCCCCCACCCCACATTATAAAATTCCCTTTGCAGCGGGCGCTCCTGAATCCCCCCTCACAGGACCTGGCCTGGCTGCTCCCTTAATTTGTAAGGGACCAAGAAAGGGGGTGTAATAGCTCCTTGGGTGTCCCCCCTCTGCCGCCACCCAAGGAAAGGAGGACATCTTGAGAACTGTCACGGACAAGAAGAAAGACGGCTAGGTATAGACAAGGAAAAAGAGGGCCAGAAGAGACAAGAAGAGAGGAGCTGAGATGACGGTGGCTGGAGGAGAAGGCCTTAGTCACAGCCCTAGGCTCTGTGCAGATGCCTGAGCCAGCCGGAGGGACCGGGAGGGAGACGCCTTCAAGAGGACCAAGGCGCCGGACCGGGAGAGACGTGGGGCCATGGAACCCCATCTCGTTGGCTATGGTGCCCCCATGGAGCACAGGGGGGTCCTCTCTCCCACACCCACAGAACTGCTTTCCCTTTTACGTCCTCTATGTCCATATCTGTCTTCTTTGCTCTTCCCTCGGGTACAGTCTGGGTCAGAAGCATCACTGGGGTGCTAATATCCTATTAGCATGTTCTCCAAAAGCGATGGTGTTTGGGTTTTTTACTTTCTTTTTTTTTTTTTTTTTAAGATCGCGAGCTGCCATGATGGTTATGAAATCATAACAAAAAGGCACGGAAGCGGGGCGCCGTGGTGGCTTAGTCGGTTAAGCATCCGACTTCGCTCGGGTCATGATCTCATGGTTCATGGGTTCGAGCCCCGCGTCGGGCTCTGTGTTGACCGCTCAGAGCGTGGATCCTGCTTCGGGTTCTGTGTCTCCCTCTCTCCCTGCCCCTCCCCCGCTCACGCTCCGTCTCTCTCTCTCTCTCTCAAAAAATAAACAAACATTAAAAAATTTTTTTTAAAAAGACATGGAAGCAAATAGTGTAAGAGACAGGGTGTCAACGCAGACACCCCCTCAATCGTCTTGCAGCCCCGCAGCCAATGGTACGCCCCTCCCTGCTTCCCTCCCCACATTAGGATCCAGCTCCCCATCTGGAGGGGCCCTGGCAGGAGCCACTCAGGGCCCCACGGCAGCTCCTAAGGGCTCAGAGACCTGCGGCCCGCCTGGGAGTCCCTGTTAGGGAATCCCCACGACACAATGGGGGACGCAGGGAGCGGAGGATGGAAATGATCACTGCACCCGGGGTCGCCAGTCGCAGTGACCCATCCTACCGGCACGACCGAGGACTGAGAAGCACATACCCAACGCGGACCTGCCTGTGTCACTGGGCTGCCATGAGGACCCCGTGGCAAGTAGGCAAAAGGCCTCCATACGTTGTCAGTGCTCCCTCGGCCATTTGTCCCGCACTGACCGGGTGCCTCTTCCAGGCCAAGGCACCGTCCTGGGACCCCAGGCTGCAGTGAACTGGAGATAAAGCCCTTGCAGAATGGAGGGAAATGCGTCACGGCATCACGGAGGAGGCAGCCAGCCGAACCCAGAAGGCGGGGAGTTGGCTAAGTCAGACAGCCTGGCATCTTCGGGAACCGAACGGTGTGGGCAAGAACAGGGAGTGGCTGCCACAGAGGAAACGAAACTCGGGAGGCATCTCCAGAAGGGCGGGCGCTGGCCAGGATCCCGCTTTCTGGACACCTGACCATCAAAAGGTGGTTTGGAGACAACCGGGGGCGTGTGAATGTGCATTGAGTGTTACCATTAAGTAGAGTGCTTACGTCTCACACGTGATTACGATGGCAGCTGTCAGCTGCCAAAAGAGCAAGGAAGGGAGGAAGGAAGTCCTCATCTGTTAAGAGATACAATCTCTACTTGCAGGGATTAACTACAGGACAAAGGTCTGGATTTGCTTATAACACTAAAAAAAATGTAGGAGGGACTTAAAGCGGAACAGAAAAAGCGTTGATAATTGAGGCTGGACAGTGGGTATATGAGGGTTCGTTAGAGAACTGTTTTCCCCATTTTGGGGTATGCTAAACTTTCCTTATTTTTAAAATCTTTATTTATTTATTTTGAGAGAGAGAGAGAGAGAGAGAGCAGAAAAGGGACAGAGAGACAGGGAGACAGAGAATCTCAAGCAGGCTCCGCACCATCCGCCCAGAGCCCGACACAGGGCTTGAATGTACGAACCACGAGATCATGACCTGAGCTGAAGCCAAGAGTCAGACACTCAACTGACTGAGCCACCCGGGCGCCCCTCCACAGTTTTTTTATTTAAAAACGTGCGCCAACAAGTTTTGGAGGACTGTGGCAGGACAGATGATCATCAAGAACAGAAGAAAGGCTGTGGATGCCCAGAGGAGGAGATGTGGACCCAAGGAGGGGGGCTTGGGGAAGTTAGAGAAGAGGTGAGACCAGATCGGGTCCAAGTGGGCAGAAGGGACATTCCAGGCAAGGAGAGCCCATGTGTATGGGCACAGAGGCTCCAGATGCTTCTATTAAGGTGACTGGATGATCCTGCTTTGCTAACCAGGAACTGGCCTGGTTTAGCACTGGAAGTCCCCGTGCTGTGTCCCAGAGACCTGGGTGGCTGGTCACCCCACCAATCCCACCCTGGAGCATTAGGCTAGCCGTGCAAGAGGGAGCAGAGCTGAGCCGGAGCGGCTGGGAGCTTCAAGATGCAGGATAAGAGGGCTGAGGGCCATCACCCAGGCAATGCCAGGCCAGCTTCCTGCCCCTTGCGTAGCACAAAGTTACAGCATCCCTTTCTGCGGGGATGGCTGGAGTCCACTGCCCGGGGACCAAGCCGGCTTCTCACGCCTCCTCATCCGTCTCTCCGGCGATGAGGCTGCAGACAGCACGACTTCAACCCTGGACACTGTCTCCTGGACCCCAACCCCCCTTAATCTGCATACGTGCTTATATGTGCACATACATACACACGAGTGCACAGACCTACATGTATGTCGTATACGTGCACAGACAACATTACATAGCTTTGTTCATTAAGCACTTGCTATGTGCATTTGCTTATTCAATCCTCACATAAACCCCCTGGGGTAGTCATGAGCACATCTACTTAATGAGTGAAGGAATCAAGGCTCAGAGAAGTTGAGTGACTCGTTCAAGGTCAAATATAAGGATAGCAACATACCTCACATGCCTACGTCAGAGGGCTCTGTGGGGCAAGCGGTGAATTATTACACATACAAAGCATGTAGACAAAAGTGCTCAGTAAGGGCCAATCTCGCCCACGACCATGTGACACCACCTTCCCACACCCTGTGGACAGTGGAGGAAGCATAGGAGTCTGGACTCGGGGGAAGAAAATGAATGATTATTTGCGTTGCAGAATAATTCACCCCCGTGTGTCTTCACAAGAGAAACGGATCTTACACAGATTTGAGTGTAGAGGCGAGAGGCAGCGACAGAAGGGCATCCCCCAAAGCCTTCCGGTCAAGTTCCCAGGGACACTCACCCCCTGAGAAGACACCATGCGGCTCTCACGGTCTCTTGCCGTGTATTACACGGCCCGCCCAGCCATCTGTCTGGGGTCTTTCCAGTCTGGAAATTTCCTGTTCATGTCAGGTGTGCAGAATTCAAGATGGCAGACATGGACTATTCCCACGCCTGCCTCGGTCTTGCGTTTGCCAGCTCACTCCTGGGGGAGCCTCTACGGGGGAGCATGGGGGAAGCCCCCCAGTGTACTGGGGCCAGTGGCAAGGACCCTCCCCTACCCTGAGCCGCACAGCCAGTGCGGAGCAATGGCTGCTCCCATCCTCCAGTTAGTGGAGAAGGGCAGGGCCAGTCTGGCGCTCAGGGTCTCGGGCAATTTTGTCAACTTCTGGGTGCACTTCAGCACCTTGAGGGTGGCCAAGCCAACCCTTCGTAAGCAGCTTCTATAAGCCCAACTGCAGAGGTAGGAACACCGCCCCACCATTGCAAAGGCTGCCATTGTCTTCTTTCCATCACTAACACGAAAAGCCACAGGGGCATAACCGGTTCAGAGATGCCTGGGCCTGGGGTGGGTCCCATATGTCGTCAACATATGGCACCCACCCACAGGCGCTGGGCGGGGGGGGGGGGGGGGGGGGGCTGGTTCCCAGAGGCGTCCCTGCCACCCTGGAACCGAGGACGTTAAATAAGCATGCACCTGCCCTCTCTGACTTCCAGAACAAACAGAGCTCTCAGATCTCATTGTCACGGCCTGCCCCGTAGAGCGCGTGCAGAGCCTCTGAGCCCACTCTCTGGTAGCCCCACTGCCATCTCCTCCACCACAATCACGCAGTCCACCGACCCGGAAACTCCAGCTCTCCCGACTCCTGAGAAGCAGCCCTGCCCAGAGGCCAACCGAAGGCACATCTCCTCCAAAACTTGAAGACAGACCGCACAGAAGCTTCATTAATTTTGCACAAGATTCGTCTAATAGCGGCTGAGCAGAGAGGAGACAAAGCCACCGGACGTTGCCTGTGCCAGCAGCCCGCCAAGGGTTAACCCATTAGCCCATATCCTGGTGAGCTCATCCCCACTGGAGCCTGCTCAGTGGCTGGGATTCACTGCTCACCAGCTCCTGGAGGGGGCCGGGGAGGCTTTCTCCAGGGCTGGGATGAACAACTTGAACAGAAACTCATTGCCGGGTGCCTCCCCCACCGTGCAAGCTGCCTCTGATTCCCAGGTTCACCGTCCTCTCCTGGGACCCTGAGGACAGTAAGTAAGGAGCGACTGGTCCCCTCTGCCCTTCCGTTTCCCCGGAGAAACGAGATGATTTGTCACTGTGCTTTAGAGCGTGTTCAGTCTTGGAACTGGAATTGGGAAGGCCGATGTGAATGAGGGGTAAAGGAGATGGGGGCTGTGCCTGGGGACGGGGGTGGGGGGGGAAGCGGCCACCGGCAGGCTGGGGGGACCGCCCAGGGAGAGTGGTGGCAGGAGAGGAGGGGGCGCCCTGCTATGCACCTGAGAGAGCAGAAGCTGTGTGCAGACAGCTAGATGTACAGCATCCAGCCTTTACCCCTGGCAGCTGGGAGGGGCGGGGAGGGCCGGGCAGGGACCTCAGTCTCAAACCTGGGCAGAGGCGGGAACAAAATCGCCAGACGGCCAAGCGCCAGGCTGCCCTCAGCTCCCAGAATGCACGGGCGGGACCTCACGCCCAGAATGTCCTCCTGTGCATCCCAGATATCAGACCTCGGCGTCTGCCTGTCCCTCCCTGCCGCAGGTGCGGCAGGCGCCGAGGGCGGGTGCCAGGGAGACCCGGTGCGGCAAGCTGGCCGGGGCGGGCTTTGTCCCAAAAGGCGAAACCCGGACAGGAACGTGCAGGGTGAACGTGTGCCACGGGGACCAATCCTCCCCGTGAAAGCAGACGTTATCACCTGAGCTATTTTTCTCCACCTCGTTACTGGGCAGGGTCTGGATGCTGGCCCGGTGACACGAAGAGGGAGGTGAATGGCACTGTCTGGGTGGAGTATGGCCTTTGGGGAACTTCCCTTCCCAGAAGTGCTGTGAGCAGGTGACAGATGGGTGGCCGAGCCGTGGGGACAGCGGCAGCACGTTCAGAAACGTTTGCTGTAGCCTCTACGTTATCAGCCCAGGCGCCGGGCCCCGCTCACCTCATCAGAAGGGGGTCACTGGTGGGGACTCCGGCGGAGAGAGAGAGAGCACGACCCTCCGTGTCTCAGGAATGTCACAGACAGACCCACCCTTGGGTCTTTCTCAGGAATAACCAATCGTGTTATTTCCGCCACTTGTATTTCGTGGCCTGCCCTCCCCCTCTTCTCCCACCGGGTGACCCTGCTCTCTGGCCCCAGCGTCCATCAAGGTGGGGGGAGGCCTCTCTCCGAGCTCTGCTTTCCGTCCTTACACTTCCCAGAATAACCCCAGCTCCTACCAGGGGAGGGACAGACAACTCCAGGCCCAAGCACAGCGGGGTCCCTTAGGAGGGTTCCGAGACCGCTTAGCAGGATGCCCAGCCCAGATCCAATTTCTCATTAACAACAAAAGAAACTTTTGGTGTCTGTCTCACGTGGGATAACGCACATTCTTATACCCCCAAAAAAAAGCACTTGTTTTTTTTATCTGAAATTCAGATTTACTGGCACTCTGTCATTTTATTGGCGAAATCTAACAATGTGATGCTATGGACCGAGTTCTGACACATTCAGAGAAGGGCGCGGCCAGCGAAGGGCCGAGGCGAGGATGTGCAGGAAGGCGCTGGTGGGAAGCCAGGAATGGGGGCAGCGAAGACGGGAGACGGGGAAAGACAGGGCTCCCATCTCTGAGAAAGCATGGTCCAGGGTGTGGGGCCAGGCGGTTCTGGACCTTAGTTTCCCTATCTGTAAAATGGGAGGGAATAGGATAATGCTGCCCCCCGAGAGCCAGGAGGCAAAGGGACCAGGCGTTTTAGCTCCGTCTGAGTGACAGTGGTGGGGACTCTGTGTCCTCTCCGGCCGCTCCGGCCCCTGCTCAGGGGCCCCGGCTCCAGCCCCTGGCCTCCTCGATGGCTCTACCCAGCACCGCCAGGCCTTACCCGGCACCCAGTGCAGCCACCACTGGACTTCAGTGTGCTGCCTGGGCCCCATTCCCAGTGTCCTCCCCACTCACCGTTCCCTCGGGACAGCTTCAATGTCCCCAGGCAGAGCAGGATAGGCTCGAACTCAGGCTCTGGAGCCACCCAGACTCCCAAACTCCCCTTCTGACCCTGGCTCGCTACTCACCGCTGAGTAACTTTGGGCAAGCCACTTAACCTCTCTGATGCTTAGCTTCCTCACCATTGACAGATGCCAGTCCATTAGAGGCCGGGGGTGGGGGGTGGGCAGCATGCCCGCCTGGCCCTTCACAGCCGCCTCAGCGCCCCCCCCCCCCCCCCCCGCTTTGCCAATCCCACCCTACCAGCCCCGCTCAGGTCAGGGGGTGTCGTTGACAACAATCGGGTGGAAGAAACAGGACTGGGCACTTGATGCTGGCCAGTTCTCACCTTCCCCGCCCCCACGGTCCCAACCGGAGACGGGAAAGCAAGCAAATTCGCAGGGTGAGCTCCACTTGCCCGCAAAACCCTCTCCTCCTTCTCCTGCCAAAGCTCCCCTGCTTTTTGAATCATTTAACTTAACAAGCGTCTGCTGTGTCCTCAGACTCAGCAAAGCACCGAGCACTGAGCGAACCTGCTGGAGAGCGTAAGGAGTTGAGAAAGCCCCGGCCCCAGCCCCTCAAGGGATCTGGGAGGGGACGGAATGCTCTCAGTCCCAAAGAAGATACAGACACTGTCTGCTCACCTCCAGGGCACTAATTCACTCACTTCCCTTCCAACCTCCATTCCCTACATTTCAGACGCTCAGGGAATCTGCTGAATGACAAGTATTTTGTCCTTATTATCCGGGACACTCGCTGCCGCTCACCAGCTCGCATAATCCACACACACACACACACACACACACACACACACACGGCGCCAGACCATTTGCACGTTGGCGGATGAATAGGTGACCTCATGAGAAAAAGCCCAAATCTTCCAGCCAGTTCTCTCCCCTCTCGCTGGAGACATCTCTTCACCTCATTTGTCAGAGACACCACTGAGCGAGCAACTATGCGCAGAAGAGTGAAGGAACGCACACGCCCTGAGCTCCTCTGCAGGGAGGGAGACTGGCTTCCTAGAATCTAGCAGAGGACAGCACATGGGAGTTGTCGCAAAGCATTGTGGTGTAGGTGAGCACTGTTTGCGGAGTACTGCATAGCAACCTGGGGGATACGAGGTCAACAGCCCCACGCGGAAATGACACATGTAGACGGGGTCTCCGAATAAGTGCACCATCACGAGCATGTAGTAGATGAGCAGACCAGCTCTAACAAGATTAAGGGATGGTCCTGTGGGTCCCTCCCTCCTGGAGAAGATCATTGAGGCCACCGGACCCAGTCTTTGCTCCATCCAGGGCCCCCTGGCTCACTGCAAGTCTGTGTTTCCCCTCAAGGGATGGTGTCTTTCCAGAAACAAGGTGGACAAACTCTTAGCTCGCTCTCTCTCTCTCATCTGCATTTTCTGTCCCAATTCCTAATTTCTCCAAGAAGCACCTTCTCTACCTTTCTGGATTTCCTCTTCATCAGTATCAGTTATACAGTCTTTCCTGTAAGAGCCAAGTGGCTCCCACACCTTCCAGATCTCCCTATAACATCTCCACCCTATTCTGGGGTCATTTTGCCTCTGCCCACACCTCTCATTTTCCTGGGTAACATGTTTCACCCTATCTATCTATCTCTCTATCTATCCATTCATCCATCCATCCATCCACTCTATCTATCTATCTATCTATCTATCTATCTATCTATCCATCCATCCACTCTATCTATCTATCTATCTATCTATCTATCTATCTATCTATCTACCTATCTCTCCATCCATCCATCCATCCATCCATCCATCTTATCTATCTATCCATCCATCCACCTTATCTATCCATCCATCCATCCATCCACCCACCCATCCATCCATCCATCCATCCATCCATTTTATCTATCTATCTATCCATCCATCCATCCATCTTATCTATCTATCCATCCATCCATCCATCTATCCATCCATCCACCTTATCTATCTATCCATCCATCCATTTTATCTATCTATCTATCTATCTATCTATCTATCTATCCATCCATCTATCTTTCTATTTAGAGAGCACACGAGTGGGGGTGGGGTAGAGAGACAGAGAAAGAGAGACAGAGAGAGAATCCCAAGTAGGCTCTACATCCAGCCCAGCACAGAGCCAGACATGGGGCTCCAAGTCACAACTCTGAGATCATGACCTGAGCCGAAATCAAGAGTCGGCTGCTCAACCAACGGAGCCAACCAGGCACCTGCTTCTTTCTTGCTCACACCCATTTGCTGGATCCCCACATTCCATCATTCGGCCTCAACCCTTATCGACATTCTGCCATTCTCGGTTCAGCTGTATTTCCACCTGCTCCCTACCATGACCCATCAATTATTTTTAGGGTTTTAATGGTCCTTTTATCTGTGGGGTGCAATTTACACACACGGAAACGCACAGGTCTTAGTGTGCTACATGGGCAAAAGGGCTCCCCCTGCCACGAAACTCACACCAACACCACGCACAGAACATTTCCGTTCGCTCCAGGGAAATCCATTAGTTCCTTCCTGCAATTCCCTTCCCTACAATGACTGTTTTGAGTTTGTCGCCTTCAATTCGTTCTTAGAAGCTCCCAGAATGTCCTATAAATGGAAATATACAACATATGTCCTCTTTCATAAATCTGATTTCTTTCACCCGGCATGTCTATGAGACTCATCCATGCCGCATGTGTCTCAAAAGTTTTGTTCCTTTTCCTTGTTCGTTCCTTTTTATTGCCTGGCATTCCGCTGTATGGATCCGCGCTTTGCTGTTGGGTTGTTTCTGGTTGGGGCGCTGTGGGCAAAGGTCCGGTATGAATATTCTTACACAAGTCATTGGTAGGCATAGGCTTTCATGTCTCTTGGACAAATAATTAGCTGGGGGTGGAACTTCTAGGAGGAATAAGGTAGGTGTGCGTTTAACTTCATAAGAAACTCCCAAGCCTGTTTTCCAAAGTGCACCTGCCATGTTATGTCCCCGCCATCAGCATATAAGAGAGTTCTGATTGCTCCCCGGTTCACCGTTTTAAATACTAACCATTCTAGTGAGCGTGTGGCTGTATCTCCTGGTGGTTTTAATTTGCATGTCCCTGTTGAGTATCAGCAGCGAGCACTTTTTCATGGGGTTCTTGTCCATCTGTTTACCTCCCTTTGTAATGGTATGTCTAAATATTTTGCCCATTTTATTTATTTTTTTAAAATATTTTTTAATGTTTATTCATTTTTGAGAGAGAGACAGAGCTTGAGCGGGGGAGGGGTAGAGCGAGAGGGAGACACAGAATCGGAAGCAGGCTCCAGGCTCTGAGCTGTCAGCACAGAGCCGGACGTGGGGATCGAACTCGAACCATGAGGTCAAGACCAGAGCTGAACTCGGACGCTTAACTGACTGAGCCACCCAGGGGCCCCTCTTCTCAGTGGCTTTTAATGAACAGGAGTTTTCAGTCACGATGAGGTCTTACTTGGTTAAGATTTCGTTCTTGGTTATTGCCTACTCTACCCTGAGGACGCTCACCTGCCTCCAGATCACAACGGTGTTCTCCTCTGTTTCCTCCTAGAATCTTTACAGTTTTAGCTTTTATGTTCAGGTTCTACCCGTGATCTGTCTCAGATTAATTTTTTTGTTGATGCGGTGGGGTGGGGTCGAGTTTCATTTTTTTCCCTTTGGAACATCAGTTGGTCCACACTGTTTGTCCAAAGGACTTTCTTTTCCCAGTTGAATTGCTCCTGTTGTCAAAAGGCATTTGTCCTTGGTTATCGTCTAGCTTGCTGGGTCAGTTGCTAGAGACCGTGGCCTGACGTCCTAAAAGTCAGACTTACAGATACCAGGTTGGCTTCCTGGGATGATTCCTGCAGACTGTGGGTCAGAGTTCTGATTTTATGTGTGGTCTGGTCATTGTCTATATGTATATTCAGACTCCCATTATCATAAGCTTTTGCAAACATACACAAAATTAGAGAGGTAGTATTATAATGAACTTCTAGATAGCCACCACCCAGATTTAATAATATTAAGCATTTTGTCATATTGCATCCAGAGTTTAATGTTTTTGTGTGAATCACAGTATCGTAGCATTTCTCCCCTGTATGATGTTTCAAGACGCATCTCTGTATCTTTAAGACATTTGCTTTTGGGGGCGCCCTGGGTGGCTCAGTGGGTTGAGTGTCCAACTTTGGTTCAGGTCATGTTCTCGCAGTTCACAAGTTCGAGCCCCGTGTCAGGCTCTGTGAGGACAACTCAGAGCATAGATACTGCTTTGGATTCTGTCTCTCTCTCTCTCTCTGCCCCTCACCCACTCACGCTGTCTCTCTCTCAGAAATAAATAAACATTAAAAAAATTTAAGACATTTGCTTTTGTGTCCACAATAGCGTTACCAAATACAAATTCTTATTTTTTAATTGTTTTAATTTTTATGTTTATTATTTTTGCGACAGAGAGAGTGCAAGTGGGGGAGGGGCAGAGAGAGGGGGACCGAGGATCCGAAGCGGGTTCTGTGCTGACAGCAGCAAGCCCGATGCGGGGCTCGAACTCACGAACTGCAAGATCATGACCTGAACAGAAGTCAGATACTCAAGCAACTGAGCCACCCAGGCGCCCTGCAAATACAAATTTTTAATTCTTAGTGTCATCTAACCCAATCCAAATTCAAACTTCCTTAAAATTATCCCCAAATGTCTTTATATAATGGGTCTGTTCTAGTCAGAATCCAAAAAGGGGAACATGTTGCCCTTAGTTACGCCTTCTAATTATCTCTGTTTAAACATTTTATTGCTACTTAATGTGCACACAGAAAACTAGTCATATCATGAATATACAGCACAGACACACCCATGTAACCCGCGGTAGCCAGACCAAGAATCAGAACATTACAGCACCCCAGAGGTTTCCATTGTGTCCCCCACCCGCTACCCCCACCAAAGGGAACCACTATCCCTAACTGCAAATAGCACAGATTTTGAATTTTATGTAAATGAAATCTCATGTTATGTAAATGGGGTTTTATGTAAACGGAGGTGTGTCTGGCTTCTCTCGGTCAGTGTTGTGTTTGGAGATGAGTGAGTGCATGTTCGTTCGTGCTTGGGCTTGTCAGCTCGTGATTCTTTCCTTCTCGCGGCTGTGTGGTCCCAATCCAGGGAGCCATCTTGGCGCCAGCCTGCAGCCTGCCCAACCCCAATTGTGTGACTAAGTCTGCCTCCTGATGCTCCAAACATGGTCTCCAGGTTAGAGGGACCCATCCTCCCTTCTCAGATGGCTGCTCTGAGGGCTGAGCCCCACATTCAAATCTCTGGTGAGTCCAGAAGCCCCGGCATCTCCGGCCTTCCTTCCACTGTCTCCTCTGCCAGCCCAACTTTGGGGCCTCAGTCCTGGTCCACCTCTGAGATGTCAAGGACATTAAAGGTGGGTGTGTTCGTTTTGGGTGGGGGGTTGCTGTACTAAATTACCACAGACTCAGTCACTTAAAACAACGAAAGTTTATTCTCTCATGGTTCGGGAGGTCAGAGTACAAAATCAAGGTGACGTCGCAGCTGGTTCCTTCCGGAGGTTCTGAGGGAGAAGCCATGCCATGCCTCTCTCCTCGCTTCTGGCCACTGCTGCAATCCTCGGCTGTCCTTGGCCTGTGGAAGCATCACTTCGACCTCTGCCTCCGTCTTCAGGAAGGCTTCCCTCTGTATGTCAAATTTTCCTCTCCTTCCTCTTAGAAGGACGTGGTCATTGGACTGGTCTCTTTGAGAATGATCTCCTCTGCAGACCCTTGCCTTAATTACACCTGCAAAGACCTTTTATCCAAATAAGGTCACATTCTGAGGTTCTGGGTGGACAATTCAACCCACCGCAGGGAGGCAGGGAGCCCCAGCATCCAAAGGCAGCACCCTTTGGGCTGGATCTTCACCGCCAAGCGGTGGAAATGACTACCCAGAGAGAAAATCCTACTGGGGACGTCAATACATCCACATAAGAAACCAGGCTGCACTAACCGGCACAAAGTCCCCTCGCTAGGACCTCATAACGCGCTCTGTGATGCCCCTCCTTACCCCCAGCCCGTAGGGGAAAAGATCACTTTACAAACAGCTGCGTGGCTTATGCAAAGAGACCACAGGACCCAAGGGGAAGGGAACACCTGGGCGCCTTTACTTACAAAAGCACATCCGCCATATTCTTCAAAGTCGTTGGACACAGAGATCCAAATAGCCTCTCTCTAGATGAGCGTACATGAACGTGAATATCTATATTCTGAAGGCAAGGCAATTTTACAGCTCATATTTCCTCCGTGGCAAAGGGGAGGGGTCTATGACCGCTTGTGGTAGGAAGGGGGAGCATTATGGTTCGGGGACGGGGACGTGGGGGACAACACCAGGTCCAGTGGTTCAGGCCTGAGCTGCTGCAGGGGTGAGGGAGGATGGGAGGTGAGGGATTAAGTTTGAGATGAGCACTGGGAGGGAAGCGTTGGAGGAGAAACCATTCACTCAGTGACGCTGCTGTTTGTGAAAGAGCCTTGATAAAGAGGAGTTCCAGAGTGTTCCAAGCTCTGGACACCATCTCCTTTATCCCAAGTTGCCTTTCCTTTCTCTCTCTCTTTTTTTTTAAGTTTATATTTATTTATTTTGAGAGAGAGATGGAGAGCAATCAGGGGGAAGGACAGAGAGACAGAGAGAGAGAGAGAGAGAGAGGGAGAATCCCAAGCAGGCTCTGCACTGCCAGCACAGAGTCCGATGCAGGACTTGAACCCGTGAACCGTGAGATCATGACCCGAACCAAAATCAAGAGTCGGATGCTTAACCAACCGACTGAGCCAACCAGGGACCCCTATCCCAAGCTACCTTTACCCAGGGGCCAATACCATGATTTCCAGACACGTACCCTCTCCGTTTTCGGGTGGGGGGAGACCACTGTGACTGGGATGAACTGCCCACCTTCCCCAACACAGCTTTTGCTGCTGGAAATTGCTCTCTGGTGCCCCGCTCACACAGAGTAAACCTGATTTGAGTGGGGCCTGATCCAACAAGACACAGAAGAAGAGGTCGGAGGAAGAGGCTCGGGCCACCTGGAGGAGGGAAAGGGCGGGAGCTGAGGACCAAAGACAGTGGATCCAAGGAGGGAGGAGAGCAGGGGCTGGAGAGAGCGCTGCTTGGAGAAAGTCACCCCAGGCAGGCAGGGGCCCTGCAGAGAACAGACGGAGAGTCTGTGGCTCTGGGGACCTGGGAGGACAGAGTGGCCAGCACGGTCCTAGAGCTCCGCTCTGCCGGGACTTGATGCGGGGAGGCTCCGGGCTCTGCCAGGAAGAACAGAGACGAGCAGTGCCGTAAAGAAACGCGGATTTAGGGGCGCCCGGGTGGCTCAGTCGGTTAAGCATCCGACTCTTGGTTTTGGCTCAGGTCATGATCTCACGGGTCATGAGATCCAGCCCCACCCCTGCACTGACAGGGCAGAGCCTGCTTGGGATTCTCTCTCTCTCTCCCCCCCTCTCTCTCTCAAAATAAATAAACATTACAAAAAAGTGGTGGATTTATGCTCAGGATCATCGGGAGGGAGGGAGGAAGCAGAAAGGAAGTTGTCCTCTGACTTGCTCGCTCCCCGATGGGGATGTCGCATCTCTAGGGCACGAACCCTGCACCAGACCCTCTGGAGGCAAGTCAAGGACAGGAATCCGGGCGGTGACAGTGACTCGGTGAAGACCTCCCCTCCCCGCCCCCTGGTTCTCCCAGCCTCCCCTTCCTCCCACACACAAAAAGTACCTAAAATACCAGGAAAAGTATCTAAATCCAGCCATTCATATCTTAGTGCCTTATTGCAAATACATAGGCATTGGCACTCGAACTTGATAAAGTTTTGTTTTTTGTTTTTTTTTTTCCGAACGAAAGGTTTTAATGCTGCGTTCCAGGCCCCTGAGCTAGCACAGCTCTGGTGGAAAGCTTTGGCTTTCCAGGTAAGTGGTGCCTCTCGGAAGCTCCAGAACTGCTCTGCACAGGTGACCAGCCAGGGGAGGAGAGGGCTCTGGTGACCGAGAGGTACACACACACACGGGTTCTGGATGCGAAATCCAAACAGGTGGTGGGATCGACTCCACTCCTTTACCCGCTAAAGAATGAGAAGGTAGGAATCTGATTTGATGTAACTCATGAGGAGGGTGGGGAAAGGGGGCATTTAGATATCAAAAAGGTCACACTCTGAGCCCGGGGCATGACTGTCCAGTGCTGACAAAGCACATAAAATCCTGGGCCGTGCTGTTCTCCAGTCCATACACAGTCTGGTGTTTTAAGAGCAAGAGAGGGGTGCCTGCGAGGCTCAGTCGGTTAAGCGTCCGACTTCCGCTCAGGTCACGATCTCGCGGTTCGTGGGTTCGAGCCCCACGTCGGGCTCTGTGCCGACAGCTCGGAGCCTGGAGCCTGCTTCGGATTCTGTGTCTCCCTCTCTCTCTGCCCCTCCCCCGTTCATGCTCTGTCTCTCTCTGTCCCAAAAATAAATAAAAAATGTTGAAAAAAAAATTTTTTTAATTAAAAAAAAAAACAGATAAACATTAAACAATTCTTTAAAAAAAAAAAAAGGAAAAAAAAAGAGTAAGACAAAAACACTCCAGGGAGTGGTTTCTTATTTATGTGGATCTCATCTGACTTTCTTTTTGGCTTTAGCACAAAGCCAGGCATCGCCCTCCGCTGAGAGCCAGGCTGCAGACGGATGCTGAGAACAGGAAGGGCGTGTGAGGACCGCTTTGGCTTCACCCCTGCTTCTAACTGTTGCGGGTACCGGGTGCCCAGTCCCGAGGAGCCGTGACAATGGAGGCTCTCCCCAGGGCCCTGGAGGTCGAGGAGAAGTCTCCGGAATCCAAGGACCTGCTGCCCAGCCAGACCGCCAGCTCCCTGTGCATCAGCTCCAGAAGTGAGTCTGTCTGGACCGCCACCCCCAGGAGTAACTGGGAAATCTACCGTAAGCCCATCGTCATCATGTCGGTGGGGGGCGCCATCCTGCTCTTCGGCGTGGTCATCACCTGCCTGGCCTACACCCTGCACCTGGGCAACAACAGCCTTAAGGTCCTTAAGATGATAGGGCCCGCCTTCCTGTCGCTGGGACTCATGATGCTGGTGTGCGGGCTCGTGTGGGTGCCCATCATCAAAAAGAAACAGAAGCAGAGACAGAAGTCCGTTTTCTTCCAGAGCCTCAAGTCCTTCTTCCTGAATCGCTGATGGCGGCCAACAGCTCTGTTCTCCCTGTCGCCCGGCCCCCTCCACCGGGAGGAGATCTGACAAGGACATCAACATCCCCATCTTCTTGGGGGTGGGGCTAGCCATAAAGCAGACCAGCGAAGCCTCTTCCTGGCCCTGTGGGGAAGAGCTCAGGGCTCCGAGTGCAGCTGGAGGGGGCTGCTGGCTGTGTCTCATTTAGGCTCTCTGTAACTGCCCTGCCTCCCCTTAGACGCTGGCCGCAGGCATCCCCTTTCAAGGCTCACTCCCTGCTCCTGCATCCAGGTACCAGCCATCTAACTCTCTCCGCAGAGCGCTATGCATGTTGGGAAATTCCTCCGGCCAGGCCGTGCCCCAAGGAGAGCCTCCTGTTTCTGCATCTGAGTGCCTGAGCTGGATTCGCCCATTTGCACCCGAACTGACTGGTAGAGGTCCCTCACAGAAGAGCCAGACACTGGTCTGGCTCCCTGTGTTCACCAGCCCCAGCTCTCTCTGTGGGCAAGATACTGATTGGCATTTCAAGAGACGAGAAGAGTCACATGTATAAAACACGGCAAAGAGTGAACAGTAAGGGTGGCCAGGGAGAAACGCTGTGGAAGAAGGCGCGTCCCCCCTCCCCTGACCCCAGAAAAGGCGCTGGGAGTCAGCCAGCTGAGGAAATTTAACTCCGGGTTATAGAGTTTTTACATCAGAGGCCGTGTGGGCTGGACTGGGGGTGCCACAGTTTGACCTTCTAGCTCCCCTGTGAACTTGACAATTAGCCAAGCAAAAGTGCATGTTGCCCTGACTCCCCCTTTCCCCCTGTCTACCCGGCCCCACCCCCAATTCTAGAACAGCAAGACAGAGACCGCAGAGGGATTCTGTAAGATTGTTCTGTCCTTCACCTCCATCGAGGACCAAAGACCATGCACCGCACCTGAACGGTCTGTGGGTTTCCAGAGAGAGAGGATTTGCTTTAGAAAAATCCCAATGTCTGGCCTCCCTGCCTATAGCCACCGAAGGAGCGAACATTTACTGGGCGCCCTTCTCCGGGGCCAGGCCCTGGGATGACAGACAACCGGCCAGACAACTTCATTCTAAAGCGAGACATATGGCCAGGCCGAGGTGCGGCTGCAACACCCGTGCTGGGCGCGCTATGGGGGAAGCGTGGCAGGTGCAGGAACACAGAGGGGCATCTCGCCCAGACAGGGGAGAGGACGGAGGGATTGCGGGACGGAGGGATTGTGCCATTGGAATAGAGGACAACAGGAAAGATTAGAGCTAGCAAAGGGGGCGGGGGGCAGGGGGAGGCAATTTGGGGGGCAAAAGTCCAGGTGGGGGACAGGGGAGGGGAGGGAGCTTAACGAAATTAGGCAACTGCACGGCAACTTCCTGCCTCTTGGCCTGCTTCCCACCTGCTTCCCATCTGCCTTAGTGCAGCCTCTCCAGGGGCCACGATGAGGCCACAGACTGGAAGGGGGTTTCCAGGGGGCCCACCAAGCAGAGAGCACCGTGAGGTAAGCGCTCCCTAAATCTGGGGCTTAGGGTGAGCAGAGGCTCTTAGGTGACAGACCAGGAGGCTGCCCTGGGCCGGGCCAGAGGTCCAGTGGAGAGCACGGATAACGAGGTGTGAAGGGAGGGCAGCCTCTCTAGGGTTTCTGGGCCCCCGCTCCCTTGTCACCGTGGCAACCCCCCCCCAACAAGCCTCCAGTATTTCCATCCTCTGTGGTAGTTCCAGATGCAGAGTCAGAACCTCACCTAGTTCCTTCTGCATCATGGGAAACTCCATGGAGACAGGTACCTGTCCCAGGGGGCCACCCCTGCCCCACCCACCTGAGAAGCCAGAACTTGGGGGGGTCTGTGGCCTTTGGGGCTTCACCCAAAATGACCATGTGTCTCATTCGGACAGCGTAGCCAGGTCCTCTAGCTGAACTGCCCCCTGCATAAGGCGGTCAAGTCCCGTCTGGGGTGCACTGCAAGTGCTTTGTCCTCAACTGTCGTCCTAGTGCCTCGAGTGACAGGGCTTACAGACCATCTACCCGCCTTTCTCTGGCCTGAATGCAGATTCCGCAGCAGCCCTATACTATCACTCTCGCCTCCCCTGATGCTTTCTTACGTGAGAGTAAACAGGACGGGCTCTCAGCTCGCTCACTGGGAATCCACACTCCCTGTGTCTCCCTACGTCCGCCCCAAAGCTCGTGGTCTGGGCGCAGCTGTGGTAGAGAGGCCCATGCGGAGGCTACTGTTGTGTACGTCTTGCTGGGAGTCTGGGGGCAGCCATGACTCTAGGAAGTATCCAAGGTCTGGACTCACCTGGAAGTTTCCAGCAATGCTTGCCCACGCGCCCTGCCCCTTAAGCTAGCATCTCAGCAAGAATAATGAGGAAACATCCCCCGAGCATCACTCATCACCACTGGGATCCCCGCACATGGGCGTGGACCAGGGAACATGCCAGCATCACGCTGAGGGGCTTTTGCCAAAGGCCATCGCCGCATGGGACGCTGGGGCGTCTGCGCAGCTGGTCTGGAATGTGGCCCAGGCCAGGCGCCGCATTTCTCGGGGAAAGCATCTCCACCGAGACTCTTCCGGTGCCCGTGGATCGGAGGACGGGACCGGCATCCACGTGTCTCTGCTCCGCGGACTGTACCCTTCCACCCACAGCTGTTCTGTTCGGGAGATTTTGTTTTAATCTGAGTCCTTAAAGGAACTGATGTAATGTTGAATCGTGCGCTCTTTCTCGGTGTCCCCTGCGTTTTCATTCTGTCCCACCCGGAGTCCCAAGACTGTCCCCATGGGTCCTCGCCGCCCCCCCCCCCACTCCCCGCCAGGAGCTGATAGCCCCTCTCTGAGACGCTGAGGTCGCAGACAGAGCGAACGCTCCTGACTCTTTCTTTCCGCACAAGCCCATCACTGAGACCAAAAAGAGATATGGGAAAAGAACCTTCCGGGATGAATCAGCGGGGCCAGGGTGAGGCAGGCGGCGACCTGGGGGTCAGCCTGTCGACGTCGCCGTGAACTCAGGACAGCGAGCACAGGAAGGGGGCACGTGGCCTCCCTCTGCCTCCTAAGTCCTTCTTCCTCCCTCCCGGCCCAGCCTCTTCTGCTTCTCTGGGTCTTACATCCTGGCCCTCTGCTACTTGGCCCCCACACCAGATTCACCGTGTCCTTGATGTCCTGCCTGCCTTGTCCTTAACGGGAGAAGAAAGGCCGGCTCTGGGTCTAGATGAACACGCAGTGATGGATTCCTCTCTCGGTTCCTGCAGCATCGCCAGACTCACAACACCTCGTCCCCGCCTGTCCCTGCTCCCCCCCCACGCCCATCACTTTGTCACTATCTCCAGAGGTGACTGGAAAACTATACCCCACAACCCCTGAACGTGTCTGATATGAGGTGTGCATGAGGGGACTGCCCGAGCACGTGCCTGGTGAAGTTTCCGGGCTGTGGGGTGCGTCAGGGGAGGGCTCTGAGAAGGGGCAGGGGGAGCGGGCAAGGACACTCTGGAGCGGGGTCTCTGAAGAGCAGAGGAAGGACCCAGGCGGAAAATAAAGGACATTTCTTGGGTGCTAACTGCATGCCGGAAACTGACCAACCCTTCCCGAGACCCTGTTCTCAGGTGCTACTCTTATCATCAACCCCATCTCACAGATGAGATAAGTGAGGCACGGGGACACCAAGCTAGGAGCAGCAAGCCAGGATTAAAATCCAGAAGGCCTGGTTCCTGAGGCCACACCCATTACACCCCTTGCCCCCCATTCAGCTCTCCAGAGACCCCCAGGGTCGCTGTGGTGGGCTCTGGGCTGCGAGGCAGGGAAAGCAGGAGTGCAGCTGGGGTTGGGAGACAGGAGGGGAGGACACACCCAGCAGGGGCCCAGAACGCCAAGCAGGGAAGTGGCCAGGCACCAGGAGGACAGACAGACGGAGCCACCAGCCGGGAAAGAAGCCAGCGTTCTGAGCATCTCCTACGAGCCACGCACAAGTGCAGGGGGTGGGGATGGGGGCCTCCGGCTGCTGGCATGAGGTGATGCTGTCACAACAGGGTGGCCTTGGTACCTCCCAGGCCAGGCTCTTCTGCTGAGTGCTGAGAAGGATCTAACAAGGATCTAAGTCAACAGCCAGTATCACTTTCCCAGGAAGCACAGTTGCTGAGCTCCGCGGCTTTCTGCAGGGAGGGAAGCTGGGGGCTTGCCTGCCCTTTCTCCAAAGAAAGACCCTCCTTGCTTCCTTTAAGACTAGAGTGGACTCCATGGGGCCCCTGAGTGGCTCAGCCGGTTGAGCGTCCGACTTCGGCTCAGGTCATGATCTCGCAGTTTGTGAGTTTGAGCCCCGCGTCGGGCTCTGTGCTGATGGCTCAGAGCCTGGAGCTTGCTTCGGATTCTGTGTCTCCCTCTCTCTGCCCCTCCCCTGCTCACGCTCTGTCTCTCTCTCTCTCAAAAGAAAATAAAGACATTAAAAAAAAAAAAAAAAAGACTAGAGAGGACTCCCTGGTGAGCCTTGGGACTGGTCCCCTCCTTGTCCCTGCTAAACCGGTGGCTACCCATCCAGGTCCTGCTTCCTGCTCCACCCCGGATCCCTGAGCCCGTGCCCTTAGCACCCACAGGATATGGCCGGTTCTTTCCCATCCCATCGGAGGCTTCTGTCTATGCAGACTGCTGTGCATGGCTCTGGGGGCTATGGGAGCTGAGCCAGGCCCTGGCCCTGTGCTATCTACTCCCACAGATCGCCAGTGGGGGGTTGCTGTACCCGAGGGACTGTGCTGTAGGTGCGGGAAGGAGGGGCGCTCCCAATCAGGTCTCCTACCAAGGAGAAAGCTGAGCAAGGGCCACCCCCCACTGCCCAGCAGGGCTCTCCAGCATGAGCGTCAAAAGTGACAGCCAACAGTCTCTCTGGTAATCATGTTGGTCTCACCTTCTATCCATAAAGAAGCGTGGGTACAAATAATGGCCATTTTCCTGCAGGGCCGCACGGGAAGGAGGCCTGGAAGGGGAGGGACATAGGATTCTAACTATGGTGACCATCGTCTGACTTGCCGCCTGGCCCTTAGTCCCTCGCTTTCTCCGACCCCCTTCTCAGGCACAACCTCTGGACCTGTGCCTCGGGAGTGGCCGTTAGCCCAGCATTTCAATCCCCAGAGCATGGACCACGTGCCCCCGTCAGAGACACGGCCGTGTGAGCTGTCCTGTCCTGGAATGCTGGTCTCTGTAGGTTCTTGCCTAGACCTCAACTGTCCTCACTCACACGCTTCTCCAAACGGGTTCTTTGTTCACAGTGGCTTCAATTACTCTGTGTGTTGTGACTCCCCACACCTATACCCGTATGTCTAAGTGCCTATTGGACAATGTGTTAGCTCCCTGTTGCTGCTGTCAAAACAAACAAACAAAAAACCCAAATCCAAACTTATTATGTTACCATTCTGGAAGTCCCAAGTCCAAAATGGATCTCATAGGGCTAAAATCAAGGTGTTAGGTAGGGCTACGTCCCCTCTAGGGGAAGATTTTGCTCCGTGCTGTAGCCAGCTTCTGGAGGCCCCCACGTCCCTTGGCTTCTGGCCCCTTCCTCTATCTTCAGATCCCCCACCCCCCTCAGTCTGACCTGTACTTCTGACACCATTCTCCTTCTTGGACCCTCTGGTTCCCCTCCTTCACTTGCAAGGACCCTTGTGATTACATTGGGTCCACCTGGAAAATCCAAGCTAGTCTCCCCATAGTGGGGGATCCTTGTGTTAGGTTGCTAGAGCGGCCATAACAAAGTATCACAGGCTGGGGGGCCGAGACCTCCCAACTTGGTTTATAGATGGCTGTCTTCTCCCTGTGTCTTCCCTCTGTGTGTGTCTGTGCCCTAATTTCTTTTTTTTTTTTTTAATTTTTTTAATGTTTATTTATTTTCGAGACACAGAGGGAGACAGAGCATGAGAGGGGGAGGGGCAGAGAGAGAGGGAGACACAGAATCCGAAACAGGCTCCAGGCTCCGAGCTGTCAGCACAGAGCTCGACGCGGGGCTTGAACCCATGAACCATGAGATCCTGAGCCCAGGTGCTCCCCCAATTTCTTCTTCTTATAAAGATACCAGTCAGGTGCCTGGGTGGCTCAGTCGGTTAAGCATCTTACTCTTGATTTCGGCTCAGTTTGTGAGTTCAAGTCCCACGTGGGGCTCTGTGCTAAGTGTGGAGCCTGCTTGGGATTCTCTCTCTCTCCCTCCCTCTTCCTCTGCCCCTCTCCCACTAGTGCTCTCTCACGGTTCATGGGTTCAAGCACGGTGTCAGGCTCTGTGCGGACAGCTCGGGGCCTGGAGCCTGCTTCGGATTCTGTCTCCCTCTGTCTCTGCCCCTCCCCTGCTCACGCTCTGTCCCTCTCTGTTTCAAAAGTAAACATGAAAAAAAAATTAAAAAAAAAAAAAAAATCCAGGGCAGAGCCTCATAAAACTCAGGGAAGGAACCCCAAGCGAATAATTCTGAGCACATCCGCCGAACACTCCGCTGATGCCCATTCACTGGGAGAGGGAAGAAAGGCCCCGTGAAAGGAGCCGGCAGTGATTGATGGGCCTGGGGAGAGGGTGTGTTCACTTTCGGGGCTGGCGCAGGGCCACCCGACTAATGAGCGGCGCCCAGCGTGGGTGTGAGAGAGCCACAGTCAAGGCCAGGACAACCCTGTTCAGGATCATCCCAACAACAGGATGGGGGAGGGAGGCGGGAAGGCTGGGGGTGGGGGGGACGGGCGTGGCCGCCGCAGAAGGAGCCTGCCTGATGGCGTGGACGCAGGCCTGGGCAGGGCCTGGGATGGCTCACCAGGCCCTTTCACACGTGGTCCCTGAAAGACAACATTGTTCCCTTCATCCTTTCGACAGGGCGCTATTGAGCACCTTGGGAACACTGCACTGGGAGTCGAGGGTGGGGGGTGGACCAAACAGAGCTTCCCCCCCACCCCCACTCCCTCCCAGAGGCACACAGGCCGTGAACAAGGCCATCGTCAAACGGACAAGCCGGTGTCAGAGAGTGATGCGGGTCACGGAGGCAGGGAGGGGAGCTTTGTGTTGAGGCCTGACGAGAAGGAGGCCACCGAGGCAAGGTTGGGGGCAGAACATTCCAGAAGAGGACATGGGAAAGGGAGGCCGAGGAAGGAAGCCGTGTGGGTGTTGGAGAAACCATCTCTCCTCCTCCTCCCCTCCCGGCTCTCCTCCCCACCCCCACCCAGGTGTGATTCCCACAACAACCCCCTCCGGAAGGGGACCTTGGGAGGGGGTGCCATGCTGTCGGCCTGCAGCCTTGTTGGGCGGTGCCTGTCCTGCTGGTCCTTCTGCTGCTCTGGCCGCTCCCTGGCCACACACGCCCATCCGGGACCCTCCTCCTCCTCCTCGTACCCACTCAGCCCTCCATCCCTCTGTGCTGGTCACCCTCCCTCTGCCGTCACCCCCAGCCTCCCTGCTGCCTGCACCCCCCACCTGCAGCGTCAGTCAATGTCACCCGAGTCGGCCGCTGCTGTGGACACCTGTGCTGAGCTCCAGACAGCACGTCCCAACCCGGACAGCCCTCAACACACACTGACCGGTGTTGGAAGAAGTCACTGTGTGTCCCCACACCGCTTCGTCCAGATCCACTTGTGTGTCAGCGGAGGGCAACCTCACCCACCAATCCCGAATCTGGGCTGGCCTTCCTCTCCCACACGCCCCACACGCAGTCTGTCTCCCAAGTACCTAGAGGCCCTTCCCTTCCCCTTCTCCCAAGTCCCAGTGCCCCTGGGC